TAAACGTCAAGAGGACCATGATATCAAATAGCCGGTTCGACCAAAGTGCAAAGAGTAACTTCTTTGTCGCAGTTCACTGAACTCTACCCAAGAAAATTCGCTCGTCAGATTGTCCAAAGCCTGCGACCAGAGATGCTCGGTCCCATGGAAATTTATGCCGCCGAGGAGGACCATCCCTCCAAGCGTCGACGCCTTGGTCAGAAGAGCCGACCGACCGTCCCTCATTCCCTTGCCTGGGGAAGATCCCTCCTGGGATGAAATCATGAAGGTAGTGGGTGAAGAAGCCCCACGAGTAGGACCGAAGATCATTACTGAAGGTCCTGTCATCCATGCCATCCAGCGAAAATATACACAACAAATAGTCCATCACCTTATGGTGTGCTGAGGCATGGATCGAATGGTGGGTCCAAACATGAAGCTCTCACCAGGAACGGCTCCTCATCGGAGATTCGTAGGCATTCGTCGAAGATTTGAAGAGGTGGTCGTTGAAGAGAACTGGGAACCATGGGAAAAATTATCGGCTCATCAACTCCGAAGAAGCTGCGCGTCGTCCCGGTGTGGACTCACCATCTTCGCCAGGTCCAGAATAGAGCCTCTTATGGAGATCTCGGGACAAAAACGACTTGCAGAAGAACGTCCCTCTAAAAGCACCAAGAGCCTGAAAATGAACATCAGGTCCAAAAGCCATCACCTCAAGTTCTGCCAGGGATTTCCGATTCAATAGTTGGGCCAATCAAGGACCTTCGACAAGAAATAGACCTCATTTCGGACAAGCGTGGTCCCGTATATGTTAGCGCTCAAGGCGGAAGATCGTGCATGGATCCTCAAGGTTCACAAGAATATGGATCACCCAAGTGCGGCCAAGCTAAAACTGCTTTGCCAGCAAGTCGGTTGTCAGCCTGAGATCCAGTTGAAGCACTAGAAGATCTGCGGCGCTGCACATGTGCTGAAGCCAAAGGACAAGAACTTGCAAAGCCAAGCGCAATTCACAACGACCTTGACTTTGGAGATGCGGTAGGCATGGATGGGGTCAAGCAGACCAATAAAGAAGGAAACCAATTCTTTTTCTCAAATTTTGCTGATGAAAGCGCGACGTTGCATACGGCAGTGCCCCCATGAGTCATTCCACGCAAGCTGCAATTCGGGCTTTAGTTCAAGGTTGGATTGGCCGGGCCGAACCTCCTGGAACCTTCATCGTAGACTCAGGAACGGAGTTTGGCACGGAAGCCTTCGACTAATTTTTGCAAGAGCATGACATCAAGCTTCGAACGCTTGCGCCAGAAGCTCACTGGCCAAATGCACGTGTAGAAAGACAGTAGACATGGCGGCGTTCTTCAAGCAATCTTAGGTAAGATGGATCGGGAGAGGCCCACATGATCGTGACACCGAAGCTATCCTCCAGTGACCCTCCAGAAGGTCAAGTGTTTCGAGACCGCCTAGCCCTTAGGGAAAGGGCAAGAAAATCCTTCAGTGCAGTAGATAATCTGCAGGCACTTCGACGCGCCGCTCAAGTAAGCCTGCAAGAAGATAAGAATATTCGGCGAGCCGACTGTTCCGTCTTGCGCCAGAACATGCCAGATCTTTGTCGGCAGTTGAAGAAGTTCGTCATGCAAAGATTCTGACATCTCATGGCATATCTCAAGAACTCGACAATCTTCGTTCAGGAAATACTCGATTCATTGATGTCATCCGAGCCTTTTCCAGCAAACGCCCGCAATATTCATTCCCAGGAACCAGAGAAGAAGAAAGAAGAAGTGAACAACCCGATGGGGAACCCGAAAATTCCGAAAGAGATATCTCCAGATCCGGAATTGAAATAGAATACTCACCATCAGTGCCAGATAATGACGCTGACAATGCTCCATTTCCGGCTTTCGAAGAAGGTATTATTCCATTGCGTCAGAAAATGTTCCAATCCCAGAAGACGATGATGATCTCTTCTGCGAGGCATGCACCTTGTCCGAAGACCAGGCATGGAAGTTCGAAATGGAAGTCAGACGCCGTGACGTGGACATTTGGAAAAACGAGCCCGCCCCAACCGACATGGCATTTCTTGTGTCAGCTGCCAAGAAACAGAAAACAGAGGTAAAGTTGACTTCCCTGACAGCCCGTGAGAAACAACTCTTTCTTGAAGCGCCAAAACAAAGTTGGTTGGACACTCAAACGGTTTGTCGCATCCTTCGTCATAAAGTTCCGACACAGAACATCCTCAAGTGTTGATGAATATTGACTTGGAAAGATGCTGAAAACAACGCGCATTTAGGTAACGATCGTAAGCACACTACCAATCGTAAAGCCAAAGCCAGACTCGTAATTCTGGGGCACCAGGATCCAAACCTCAGTGACTTGGAAAGAGACAGCCCAACGCTAACCAAGCTGTCAAGGAATCTCATCTTGCAGTTGTGTGTGAGCAACCAATGGCAAATCGGCAGCTTTGATGTGAAGACAGCCTTCCTTCGTGGCAGTGCTGACTCTAGAGTCCTCGGGTTGGATTGGAGGAGCTCCAAGACAAAATGAGGCTACGGCCTGATGAAGTCTGTCGACTTTTGAAAGGCGCTTACGGACTGGTGAACGCACCTCTTCTCTAGTTCAGAGAGCTCACTGAGGCAGTCACGGAGCTCCAGGCACCTTTCGACCCGTGCTGGTTTGTATTGTTTGATGAGAAGAACAACGCAAAAGGGTTCATAGGAATTCATGTGCATGACGGGCTGTTTGCCGGCGACACTGAATTTCACCAGAAATCAACCAACTCGAAGAGAAGTTTCCTTTTGCCAGTCGCAAAAGTCAAAGCTTTGCGTCACAGGCCTGCAGATCAACCAGAACGATGACTTCTCGATCACGGTAGGTCAAACACAATATGTCAAAGACATTGACCCAATCAGCATTGATAAAGATCGTCGCAAACACCTTGAAGAACAAATTAATGATCAATGATCAAGAACGTCAAGTCTTTAGAGGACTGATAGGTAGTTTGCAATACGCCACCGTAAACACTCGACCTGACCTTGGTAGCCGCCTCAGTTTTTTGCAAAGCAAAATCAACAATGGCCAGATTCCTTCATGATGCCAAGGTTCATTCCAATGCCAAGTGTGAATATCAGTTCATACCCAAAGAAGATGTCCGACTCGTCGCGTTCTCAGATGCATCGTTCGCTTCGGAGAAGATTCAATCGTCCCATCAGGGTCTCATGATAATGACTGCTCACAAAGACATTGGTCGAAACCTCAAAAGTGTTGTGAATCTCCAATAGTGTGGTCACCCAAGAAAATCCAAAAGGTTGCCGTGACCCTCTGTCGGCAGAACCTATGGCCATGGCTGTAGCGATGGACATCCTAGCCTCAGGCCGTCTTTGTTGGGGATGGTTATCCGACCTGCTGCCAACGGCGATTTGGTGACAAAACACTCGCGAAGCTTCCACAAGCCTTCTCAGCGTTCAATCATGAGGGTGTTTTGGAAGATCCGAACCAATCTCTCAGTAAGAGCCTGATGAAACCAACAATCACCGGAAAGCAGGACTCCATTATAGCCACAGATTGTAAGAGCCTCTTTGATTTGGTAAGTAGGACAGCCCCACCAGCTTGCCAAGAGTTTCGAACGTTGTTACAAGCCAAACTGATCAAGGAACACTTGGCCACAGGGGTGGCAGTTCGGTGGGTTCCAACCAATGCCCAGATAGCTGACAGTCTCACAAAAGTCATGGACCGCCAACCTGCGCGAAGTGATGAAGGTAGGTCGATACCAACTCCAAGACGAGACAGAAATCCTGACAAATAGATCCGACCACAAAGCCCGATTGAAATGAATCCAAAGCCACCTTCGGCGCAGCCAGTGGATCAATGAAGGAAAAGCCAAGACGCCCTCATTGACTGCTAGTTGAAAGATGTGAACCGCCCGCATTCTTACGTAATTCAATTCTTAGTGGCCAAGAGCCTTCAAAGCAGGGGGTAAGAGAAGTGCCACCGCTGGAAAGACAACTTGGGAAAATGGGTTCTCGTAGATGTCTCCGTGAACTTCTCTATGGGGATGTCTTGCGCATTCAAGACCGCGTGATTTTTTGAGCAATATGACGTGATCTTCATTGAGTTCACCCGCTGTGGGGAACATGTTCGACAAAAAGAAAATAGAGGGTATGTCGAATTTGCAGGTGCTCTTGAGGAAACCATGTCACATGTTCCTACCCAATGCTTTTCTCTCAAGCGTGGGTGGGAAGGGTGGTTCGCTTTCAGCCATCACACAGAGAGAGAGAGAGAGAGCGAGAGAGGGAGAGAGAGAGAGAGAGATCCGAATCTCTCGAGCCTACGTGGAGAGCAGGAGCTCTTGGTTTGGTAGCAGGGACTTCCAAACCGACGTGGAGAGCAGGTGGAAAAGGCAGCGGTTGGCGTCAGAGCAGGGCTCTGAGGGTAATCTTGGAGTGAAGTAGGACTTCACAAAATATCCTTGGGAATTTGCGTTTGGCGCGTTGCTTTTCTTTTTGAGCGAGCCCTTTTCCGCAAGTTTCCGTCTGGTTTCGATAAAGCCAAGGCTCATAATTTCATTAATACATATATATATATTACTATAATACTATTGTATAATATGTATACACACTCATGTATATGTATATATATATATGTATGCCAAAATGGGGTTCACATGGACTAACAAGAAGACAAGGCAAGTGGAAGGAGCAACCGACTTCTTGGCCCAAAAAGGACATGTGTGTGAGGCGTAATGCCTCATTTTGCAAAGTGGTTCACAAAATGCGCATTCTGGCCTAGTTTGCTGCTCATCGTTGGGAAAAGAGCGGCAAGGAAGTGCAGGCGGCTGATCCAAAGGTTCAAGTGCTTGTTCATAGATTATAAAAAACGAATCGGTATGCCACTACAATCTATAGACGCTCAAAAGTAACCTATTAATCTTGGGGCAACTTGCGGTCGCTCAAAGCCATGAGCCTCTCGCAAATTGGCTGGCTACTCCCAATCTCCACCCAGCCCAACAAAAAAACATGCTGACGAGGTGCGGCGCATCTTCTTGCAATCGCTTATGCGGACAAAGGCCTTGGGGAATTGCTCTTCCAGAACGCATTCATTGCCGCAACCCATAGCGTACTCAGCAACGCTTTCCACCACCTTGTGTACAAGGGGCCCTCGCGGTTGGCGCGCAATGTCCCTCTTGCAGCTTTGATTCTGGGATGGGTGGAAATTAATTTCGTGGCTGTCAATTTTCATTGATCAGCCAGCTGTCATGTGCTCAGCTACCAAATGCTTCAGCTCTATCAAGCATGGAAACTGAGAATGGATTTGCTGGAGTAAAGGTTTTGCTGCGCCATGGAAAGTGAAACTGGGTTTGCTGGAGTATAGGTATTTGCGCCTGTGTGAGTCTTGCAAAATATAAGTTGCTGTGGCAGAGGGCATTATACTCTTCTCTGGCGGGTGGGATGCCTCGAAGTTCTGCTCATCATTCTTGGTTCAGTATCATTGACACGCAGTAGCATTGTAGTGCACTTTTCTTCCCAATGGTTTCTCTTGTAGAAAGAAGATTGGGAAAATAATGCTTAAAGGAGAAGAGTTGCTCCACTAACAGCATCCATGCCATGCGCTGCCAGGTTTAGTGATCCTGCCAGGTTGGGCGGCGTTTGTAGCTTTTGTTTGCTCAACTGCGGTGCCTTCTCGGCGGCGGCCTGGCCAACACCACAGGCGTCTTCAAGGCCTTGGAGGACTACTCTTGTTGATGAAAATCGCAGGTTTGACATAACTTCACATCTCGTTGAAGCCCAACCTTTCCCTCCCTCCAACATTCAGGTGGACCATATATATGTTTCTCCAAAGGCCCAGAGCGAAAAGAGAAAAACGTATCGCTTGGTGCGATAATGCGGTGGTCAACAATGTGATGAATGCGCGGCAGTTCGCCACCAGAAAAGTGGCCATGCGCTTGGAGGAAGCGCCCCTTTGTCTTGGGCGAACGGGAGCTCTGGCAACCGCTTGACACATTTCTGGGTTGAAGTTGGTAGTGTTAAGGCAAGGGTTTTTGCAGTGTATGTGTTTTTCTCCACACACCCCAGTGAGGATTTCTATGGCTCTTTGGACGTTTCCCGAGAAATGCCTATGAGGCCCAGCTGCATCAGCCCATGGACTGGGCCTGCGGATGGTCCTTACTAGATGCTTCCGGCCCTTGGATGTGGTGCGTGACAACGGGCTCGAACAAGTGTTGCTGGTGGACCTCTACAGGTTCTATGTAGATGTCGACGAGTTGTTGGCAACATTTACTTGGCGCGGACAACGAATCTTTGCGCAAAACAAGAACAAACCCGTCCAGTTTGCCAATAGCTGTTGACAACATATACTTCATTGTGGAAATTTTGCCTTTGCGAAACAACAAAGATAACACCTTCCAGTTTGTCACTATTTTTTGGCAGCATGTATTTGATGTGGAAACTAACCCTTACAAGAAAACAAGGACAAGGCCTTCCCGTATTACACCCAAGACATGGACCTCGTGTCTGAACCGTGAGCAAGACATGATCGGTGGCGCGAGGTTTTGGCACGTTTCCTGCTTGCGCGACACGGTTCAGAAAGAGTGCTTCTTCAAATTGAAAGACCCGGGCGCAACGGAAACAAATCGAGATGCCTTGGAGAGAATGATGCTTACATTTCACAAAGCAATCCGCTTTTTGGACCTACACACACATATACATACCACAATGAAGGCTCACCCCCTCATCGGTCGTCACTCTTTTCTCCGCAAGACCAAGTTTGTTAGAATTAAAGAATACATGCTTCAGCAAAACGTTTTAGAGATCGCTCCCAAATTTCTTCGTATCCATAAAAGTGCTTCCGCCAAACCAGAAGAACACTTTTTAGGCCGAGAGACCGGTTGCAACTACGTTTACACCCCTCCGCCATAGCGAGCGAATGCAAACCTCATGGCTGCTGTTCAAAAGTATCGCTCTCTGCCCGAAAAAATGTTTTTCTCTCTTTGCTTTCTTGTCTTTGGCCTTCTTTCCACTGCCCCCTGCCCTGCCCTTATGGGCAGGCTCAGGCGACGGGATCAATGGATTCAATAAAAGGAGGTGGTTGTGTTCGTTCAAGGTTGAACGGGGCAAACGCATCTCAGCAAGGGCTGCCAGGCCACTGTTAACAAGGTATGCCGTTTTTTTGCCGCCTGCCAACGGCCATGCGCCAACAGCCCATCCAAGGATCCCCACCTTTGGAACCACCAGGCGGCACCCCCCCTGACGTAAGGAGTAGGGTCGAAAACCTAAGTCAACAAACCCGAGAGCGTCTACAGTAGTATTAGACTGTTCCCGCCACTGATTGGGCGAAGGACAAAATTCCTTGCGAGCTGACGAATCCCCAAGATCTCTCCCGTACGCGGTGTTGCGTAGAACCCTACAAGGAGGGATAAAGCAAAAAGATGCTCTTGTTTGAAAGTGGCGTGCCCTACCATCATGTGAAGAGGTTCTTCCGGTAAAGGGGGTTCTCTGTTGGGCATTCCATGCGCGCTCCAAGCTTTTAAACGTCTCCATGCGCCTCCCAACGCCCTTTCACCTGGGGTTTGAGCATCCTGCAGCGCAGCGACTGCGTCGCTCGCCTGAGCTCGTCCAAAGCCTTCGCTCCACAAGTGCTCTATGCATACTGTTGAAACAAAACGTCGAGCCCAGAGTGTGAGGTAGGTATACTTCACACTTTTCTTCATGAAGAAAAGCCCAAAAGCCTTCTAGAGCCTTGTTGCGCCGCTCCCGAGTATGGTTGGACCGTAAGTGACTGCAAACTTCCCAGTGCCGCTCGTCGCCGCTTCCGCTCCTCCCTTGTGCCTCCTTCCGCCAACACCTTGAGCCATCTTCTCTTGACTGGTCTCCGTTTTGGCGCGTCAGCCGGATTCTGCAAGGTGGGCCGCAGTGGGCCTGGTTTCCGGAGGCCAGGAAAAGAGCGTTGGTTCTCATCAAAGTGCGGCGTAGTTCGCGGCTACTCGATCGACCTCGAGCTAAACTGTGAAGACAGACAAATGAGTCCACAAGGTGTACGAACCTGGTTTGCACCAATGCGCCACCTCAACGTAGTGTAAACAGCCCGTAGCTTCTCCAGGCTGTTTATATGATCCTGAAAACCCAAAACACGAGACTAGGTAGAGCAGAGTGAGGTTGTCCTTGTCCTTCACTGCCGCCAACTCCTCGCCCTCAGCCCCGAGCGCCTGCGGACACCACGGTACATCCCCTGCGAAAGCTCGACGTCCTTCGGCTCGATCCAAAGCAATCGAAAGGCTCCAGATATTATATCTTTCAACTCCTGGGTATCGTTGAAGCCACAGGATTCGGCGCGCGACCTGGTCGCGCAGCCGCCCAGCCGGCGCGGATGGAGATGCTTGTCCGTTCCCTGGTTGACTTGGCGCTGATCATGTACAAGCCGACTCACCCATGGGACAAGGCCCTCTTCGGCAACATCTTGGGCACGAGCTCATAGTTGAGCTCAAAACCTTCATGACCACTAACACCAGGCGCTTGGCCACGTCCTTCATGAGCTGGCGGTACACCTGTTTCAAGTTCTCGCGCGCTCTGGGACGAGGTCTCTTCCGCGCCCTTTCTCGCCCGCCTTGGTACCGTGCCGGAAGTCCTTGTTGACGAAGCTCCTTCTCAGTCTGTGTCTCGGCTGAGGTAGAGCTTGTTGATGTCGTTCGTGTAATAATTGAGGATTTCCAGGATGAAGTCCTGTTGTCACCACAGAAAAGGCGCCACAGCAACATGCCAATCACAATGACACACAGTGTCACGGTCATCTCGGGCGACAGCGTAGCAGCCATGACCAACACAGGCCAAGGCGACTTATAGTGCACTTATCCCCTGTGCTCGCATAAATCGCTTATATGTCCTCTTCTTTTGGAAGATGGATGGTCTTGTAACCATGCATGGGCTCAAGGAAAAAGTGATGGTGGGGATTGCTCGAAGAAGTTCCTTTTTCTGAGAAGGTTCACCTTTTTCTCCGGTTACTCATGTTTTTTTCATTTCTTCACAGGTTGCATTTCACCTTGCTGTCCGCCCGCCGGAGAATTCGCAGCGCAGAGTTCCAACATGAACGCATCACGACCACATGGTGGCACTTTACACCAAATCTCCAAGATGTGAAGGGGTGCGCAAGCAAAACCATATATGTCACGCTCACATTTTTCCCTGCTGGTGTATGCTAGCAGCCTCATGATGGTCATGTAGCGAAGTGCTGGAGGCGGCGCTTTGGGCAGCTTTTTTGCTTAGTAACAATTGGTTTGCGTGTAGCTGTTTTTTGTGTTTGGCCAGCTCTGGCTCGAAATGGCGCCGTTTGGAGTAAAGCCCCATGCGAGAAAGGCCCATGGGCTTGGCCAGAGAGCGCTCCAAAAGAAACGAAGGAAACAGCTGAGCGCTACCTTGTCTGAGCGGCTGTTTGGCATTTTAGATATGGACTCTGTGGAGGCCACAGGATCCTTGTACCCGAGGTGCGCAGACTTGCGCAAGAAAAAAACAAAAGGTACATGTTTCTGAGAAGCTTTGGAGGCCGCGTCTTTACACTCAAAGTCTGCTCGCAAATCACCAGAGTACTGATTCAGAAGTTGCCCTTCGACCTCTCGAAGGATCCCCGCCAATCCATGGCCGAGTTGATCAAGTCTCAAGCCTTGAGACTTCAGAAGCTTGCCCGGCGGAGCAAACGGGTAAGGAAGATGGCGGATTTTTCCGACACTGTGCCTTACGCAGTCGCCCTATATGTTTGTGGCAGCTTGTATATAAGTAAGCAATGCTCATCAATGCTCAGCTAACTCAAGGGGTTTGTGAAAACTCTTTCGGTAAGGTGTTCGAGGAAGAGTTTGTTCATGGCTTAGTTTTTTGGAGCACCCCCCCCACATGAGCAGCTCGGCCCACTCGTGCTCTTTTGTTGCTCAAGGCTGCGCAGCATCCCGCCGTGGGCGTTGAGGTGCCTGACAGGTTTGCTTTTCTTAGTGCAAAATTTAAAGTGGGAGTCCTGGGCCTGCCTGTGCAGGGGCCTGTCAAGGGTGACGCCATGGAGGCGGATCCGAAACAAAACCAAAAACCAAT